GTAGCCCAGGCTGGCCTCGAACTCACAGAGATCCGCCTGGCTCTGCCTCCCGAGTGCTGGGATTAAAGGCGTGCGCCACCAACGCCCGGCCCTACTTTGGGTATTTTAACAATGAAAGAAATGAAGTTTGCTTCAAATTGTCAACCCAGGAATTGTGCTGCTAGCAATTATTGCTCTTAAACTTTTCCAAAACCACAAACTATCACCTTTGGTCTGTGTAAGTAAAAAGCAGGTGCTCAGGGCTGTTTGTGGCAATCTGTGGTTCGGATGACCTGGAGTAATACTTGGCATCACTTTATTTTTTTATAACATATTGAAAAGTATACAAACAGTCATAAAAGTGCTGCTTGACTTGAGTATTGAGAATTGAGAAATTTTAAGTCAATCTACCTAAAAGTAATCTATATAGAATAAAAGGCTGATGAAATCAGCATATGGATTAAGTCACAACTTTGCCTTCTCAATTTTTCTAATCAAATGAAATATGCATTGAAGATACCAAAATCTGTATCATCTCACATAAAAGATAACACACTAATATTTCCCTATATTTCACTTAGAAGAACTTTACTCATATATTTAGCACACCATGCTTCTCCAATCTGTGGTCTGTAGGACTATACAGATGCAGAATACAGACATGCAAATAATAATTTTCAATTAACAAAACTATAATTATTAATTGATTACTAAGTTTTTTAATATATTGGAAATAGTTTTGGTTGAAGCTCACTTTTATGACTCAAGGCTAGCTTAGTAAATATAATTCAATATAGATAATATATGTTTTAAATAAAGTTACACAGAAATTCAGGACATTTCTTTGTTCTAGGAGGCTATAGATTATACAAAACCCAGGCTGCTGAGTAAGTGGCTGAATACAGGGCATATCTTTTGTGTTGTTAAAACTAGGCTTCAGGGTTACAATTCTTTAGAAGCCTCTCTCCTCTTTACCTTCCTAGGGAATTCACCAAGGACTTGCTTTGGACAGCTCAAAAGCAGAGGGACAGGTCAGTGAGTATGGCTCCTCACCTGGCATTTCACTGGGGATGGCGTAAAACAAGTTAGGGTTTATGATTTCTAGTACATTTGCTGGTACAGTCTTGTTAAGTGGTAATTCTATTGTCTTCCACTGCTCTGAAGGGATGGCTGAAAACATACAAGGTACAGATCTTGCAATTAAACATATACAATTTATTCTTTCCCCCATTTATTCATTCAATAAAATTGTTCATCAAAAGCTGATTATCAACATCTCAGAGTTCCCAAGATGAGACATCTTTTTCACAAATGGATTTACTCAACTCTGAGAGTATGTGCACATTATAAAGTTATTCAAGAACAAGGATCTGAGTTAATACCTTCCTGCAGAATATTTCTAAAGTATAATTAATGCAATTCTTCTAATTATTCAAATTTTAAGTGATACCTTAAAATACCTTCTGTATGATGTTTATCTAACAACTATATTTAAAATGTTTGTTTAAAAAAAATCCTACTATTCTAGAGAGGTTTAACTAAGGCGAGAAGACCCACAGTGGAGGTGGTACCACCCAACTGACTGAACATGAAAGTACAGCAGCCAGTGAGCTGAGCACCAGCCTTCCTCTCTGCTTCCTGACTGCGGTCACAAAGTGGCCAACCACCTCATACTCCTGCTGGGATTCTTCCCCACCATGCTCAGATGGCACCTCCTCAAATCGAGAGCCTTTTTGTCAGGTGTACAGCTGCAGTGATAAAAAAAGTAAACAACAAACAGGAGAACTGAAGCCCTCGCCTGCTCCTGGGTCAGCAGTGAGTACTGTGAACTGACCGCTTATTCAAAGATCCTGCAGTTTCAATACATCCCTATCAAACTCCAAATGCATTCTTCATAGAACTAGAAAAAACAATCTAGTACATCTATGGACACACAAAGACTCCAAAATAGAGGGAGCACTGATTAAAGTATCTCAATCACCTCAATACCTGATGTTAAATCATACCACACAACCATGGCAATACACCAGCTCAGTTCTGGTACAAAACAGATGGCAGACCAATGGAAGAGGATCCCACACAAAACCACAGCACAGCCAACCAGTCTTTGACAAAGGTGCTAAAAACACACAGTGGAGAAAAGACAGAGGGGAAAGGTGGAGACCAGAGCAGAAAGAGCAAGCTAGAGATCCCTCATCCTGCATTAACTAAACTCAAGAGGGACAGATCTTGAGATCCCAAAGTCTGTAACAGCCAGGGAAAAACAGGACAGACCTTTACAGCCCTAGGCCAGGACTCAGGTGGCACAGTGGGTAATCCCAAGCTCTGACAAGTGCCACTGCACAGGATTCGTAGCTTTCTGCACAGAAAGGCCACCAACCAGCAGAATGCAACCACAGCCTCCAGTGTGTGTGTGTGTGTGTGTGTGTGTGTGTGTGTGTGTGTGTGTGTGTGTGTGTGTGTGTGTGTGTATGGGGGGGGCTTAACTCTTCATCTGACAGGGGTTAATATCTAGAAGCCATAAAAATTCCAAAAATTAAATGCTCAAATACCCAAATCATCCAATCAACATATAGCCAGTGACCTGAACAGATGGTTCTCAAAGAAGTTCACATGGTCAACAGCTGTATTTATAATTTCTAGTTAACTTTATTAAAAAACTAGAAATTAAACACGCATGCATGCACGCACATGCGCGCGCGCACACGCGCGCACACACACACACACACACACACACACACACACACACACACACACACACACATAAATTAACCAGACCCAAAGTCTTTGCATCTCAGTGAATCTCTGTACTTCAGCATGGCTGATCTGAAGCTGTGGGTTACAAAAAAGTTCTAGGAAGTGTAAAGCCAACTTTTGCCAGTTGCAACTATCATGGAGTTTTCATTTTTGATGGTAGCACATAAAAATATATACTATAGTAAAAGTGTAAAATTCAACATGAGACTTTTTTTAAATGACCAAGATCCTTAGTAGTCGAGGGAATGCAAATTCACACTGTTTTAAGGAGACATCTTGACTAGTCAGAAAACCACCACCTCCACCACCTTCACCACCTCCACCACACCTCCTCCTCCACTTCCACCACCTCCTCCTCCTCCACCACCACCCTCCTCCTCCTCCACCACCACCACCACCACCACCAGGTTGTGAATTTAGGTGGGGGAGCAGGAGGTGTCGGAGAGAGGGAGGGGAGAGGCAGAAATGATGTAAATATAGTACTCATGTATGAAATTTTCAAAAAATAAAAATTAATTAAAAAACCAAATTTAAAATTATTTCAAGATCTTCAAGAAAACAAAGAACAAATACTGGTGACATGGGGAAAGGAACACTTATTCACAGCCACCGTGGAAATCCCATGGAGGTGCTTCAAAAGCTAACAGATTTCCCACACGCTGCTACACCTCAGCACAGCACACTGGGTGCTACCCAGGGACACAGTTGGCACAGCACAAGATGCCTGGAACACTGTCAGACCAACCCAGGTACTCAGGACAGACATGGACCCAGCCTAGATGGCCACTAACAGTTGGATGACACATAAAATTTGGTACATACACAATGGGATTTTATTTAGTTAGCTATAGAGAAAAGTGAAATTATATCGTATGCATGTGGATGTATATATGTGCAACACAAACAGGGGCTCTGAGTGAGGAGGAACAGGTCTAGAGGGGAGAACAACAGAAGGGTCTAGGAAAAGAGTATCACCACCACACTTTGTCTCTCAGGCAGGGTCTAGACCCCCCCCACACACACACACACGGAAAAGAGTATCACCACCACACTTTGT